GGTCTTCTTTTTTGCTGACCCTCTACTTTCCCAAGTATGATGTCCTTCTCCAGGGACTGGCCCTCCTGATTATGTGTCCAAAGTGCGTGAAACAAAGTCTTGCCATTCTCCCTTCCAAGGATCACTCTGGCTGTACTTCTTCTAAGACAGACTTGCTTGTTCTTCTGGTAGTCCATGATATATTCAATATTCTTTGCCAACACCATAATTCAAAGGCATCATAACAATACAGTTGTAAAAATTGATTTATTTTTACTCTTCCTTTCTTCTCATGATAAAGATATGGATGAGCCATGTCATTCTTACAAAATCCAAACTGCAAGTCATAATTTTTATGTAGGAGACATATATGAAAAAAAAAACCTAGTATATATTTCAAAGTAAAAATGGCAATGTAAACACATATATAATTAGGGGCATTGTGTTCATTTCTGGATTATGTGTTTAGAAGGACAACTCTGCATAGGAAATAAAGAAAATGAAATTGATTAATGAATCCATTCATTTGAAGGCATGGCCTGAGTATTACCTAGGATTCCAAACGATCATAAAGCTCAGGGAACAACAAAGAGGAATACAAAAGCCAAGTGATATCTGACAGGTTGTGCCTGACCAAATGATTGCAGTCTGGCCATGAGTTCACTGCCATCACTGTAATAATGCTCAGCTTCTCAGAAGCTCGTGGCGGTGTTCGTCTGCCCTTGTTACGGGGCTTGAGCTTTTGCTGGAAACCATATGACAGTCTTTAAATACTCTTAGCTTTTGTTAATAAGATGATTCGCAGAACCCAAAGGGACTCAGGTGTTTTCATTTGCTGGAAGGCGGAGGCAAGTCTGGACAGAATGAATTATTCCTCCTGGGAGGGAGCCTAACCTTCGCAGGGCCCTGAGAGAACAAGGAACAACAAGTCTAGTGGGGAGTGGTGAAAACACAGCTCACAGACTCAGATCCAGAAGTCCGGGTGTAGACACATGGGATTAAAAACCAGCATTTGTCTTGAGTCTTTGCCATGATTGGGAGTTATTGAAGTCAGGTTTCTAAGGAAATGGTAATTAGGTTCAATATTATTGAAGAAACAATTTCCCCTTGAGAGCTAACAAAACAGCTTGCTACTGTTTACCCTGCAACAAATTATTAAGCTGTCAGTGAATTTGAGCCTCGGAATAACCAAAAAAGCCACACCCGATGCCATCAAGTCGATTCCAACACAAAGCGACCCTATAGGACAGAGTAGAACTGCTCCATAGAGTTTCCAAGGAGTGGCTGGTGGCTTTGAACTGCCGACCTTTTGGTTAGTAGCCGAGCTCTTAACCACTGTGCCACCAGGGTTCCTCACGTGTCCCACTCTCATGCTATCAGAGCTGCTGACCAACGTGAAGACGATGATTCCCAGAGGAATCTCTCCCCAGATACGCCTCAGAGTTTAGTTTAATCCAAACAAAATGGCGCTTCTTGATGGCAGGCCACTCCTCAGCTACAACCCGAGAGCCCCTCTTTTGAGCTGTGGGTTAGTCGATGGCCCTTCTTGGAACTCCTGGAAATGCTCCTGTCTCAGCTCTGGTCTCCCTTACTTACCAGCAGGCAGCTGTTTCTGAGCAATTACCTCCTTGTTGCCAGGTCTCCCCTTGCACAAAGGTATGTTTATCACCAAGTCTGTTTTGTCTTAATCCCGTGGGCAAAAACTTTGCTAGGGACCATACAAAGTCATTAAAACAGATTATTTTTAGGTTATATTAGTAACAACAAAAGCTGGCGTTTTTATAGCCTTTTACCTTTTACCAGTTGTTTTCACTTTATTTTTCCTCTAGGTCAGGAGTTAGATTCGGTGTTGATGAGGCTTTTGATGGGGACAGCAGCCTCTGGTATCCAATGTTTTTGTAATTCCCAGGATTATAGTATATTTTACCAGGGCCATAATGATTGCATCTTCCAACTGTAACAGAATTCATCAAAGATGAGACAGAGAATAGGAAAAACAACACCAGTGCTGTTGTGCAGAGGGTTTTTATTAAACGCACAGGGACAAATAAATGTTCAACACCTCATTGCCCCCTACACGGCTGGTTTTGTTTTGTTCACTTTACAAGTGAGGAAATGCGAGTTTACATGGCTCGTAACTGTCAGCGTGCAGACGCCAACGCCCATGTCCTTTCTGAGGTCTCGTAGCAGATGGGAAGGACACAGACTAAGTCCGGTCGCTGGACTCTAGATCCAGCTTCTTCCTTGTCTGACCCTTTCTTCATTTCTTTGGGCCTCCAGTTCCTCATCACGAGCCAAGGAGCTTTGCACTAAATGGCCTTTTCCACAGTCTAAAGGATCGACAACAAATCGGTCATGTTCTAAATTTGGGTGAGCATTCCAGGTGGTACAGTGGTTAAGAGCTCGGCGGCTAACCAAAAGGTTGGCAGTTCAAAGCCACCAGCCTCTCCTTGGAAACCCTTTGGGGCGATTCTACTCTGTACTATAGGGTCTCTGTGAGTTAGAATTGACTCGATGGCAATGGGGTTGGATTTTTTTGGTTAGGACCTGTGAACCACCCACACCTAGGAAAGGAAGACCAATTAGACACTTTAAAGACGGAGCAACACACAGTCAGGAGCCACAGGTGTGTATTCTCTAGCTCACCTGTAAAGGCCTGGTCACCAGTGAGGTAGTAATGTAAGACTCACTTTTGGGAGTCCTCAGGGTCAGGCGGATATTACACCTGACCAACAAATGTGTACTGGGAATCCTTCAGTGGGGATGAGGTGAAGACAATGGCCTTGATGTGAAAGGGGAGGTGGGGACCCAGGTGACTGGCCATGCTAGTAATATCAAGGCGGTAGATATGTGGCAGATATGGGGGAGAGGCATATGAGGGGGCAGGTTGGAGCTCAACAGGCATGTGTTGTAAACAAGGAAGTTGTAAACAAGAGGGGGAATTTTTTTACACTAACTTTTTTCTGTTGATAAAAGGCACAAGAATGTTGTAGAACATGTGGTAAAATATAGAAAAGCATAAAGAAGAAAATTAAAATCATCTGGAATCCACCATCAAAAAGTAAATAATTAAAAGTACTGCAGGTGTGTGGATCTGAACTGGAAATGAACATGGAAACGTGAAAGTAACTCATGGGTTGCAATAGTGGGAACTAGTTGCTGTCAAGTCAGTTCTGACTCATGGAGAACCCCCGTGTGTCAGAGGAGAACTGTGCCCCATAGGATTGTCAATGGCTGTGATCTTTCAGAAGCAGATTGCCGGTCCTTTCTTCTGGGTAATCTCAAACCTCCAAACTTTTCCTTTCAGTTAGCAGCTGAGTGCGTTAACTCTTTGTACCACCCAGGGACTTTTTTTTCCTGTTTGATTTCTAGTTTGCACTGGTTTCTTCTAGTCTTTTCTGACTTCAGATCTATGGATAAAAGACAGCTCTAACATATTTGTGAATTAAAAAAACATGGAAGGCCGTTGCATACGCTTTGTTGCCTGAAGCCTATTGTGAGCTTTTCCCTCGTGAGTAAACGTTTTTCTAAAAGGTAATTTAAATGGCTCCATAGTATTCTATCACATGAATAGATCATAATTGATTTAACAAATCCCCTGTTGTGTACATTTGGCTCGTTCCATTTTTCACTATTATAAACAAAACTCCACTCAATATCCTCATACATCGTGTTTGTGTGAATAGCCACTGCTTCCAGGGCATATCCTGGGGATAAATACCTAGAAGTAAAATCACGTGATCCAAGGGCATACTCATTTTTGATGCTCCTGATACGTATTGCCGGATTGTATCCTGAAAATACTCTATGAATTTATACTCCAAGGGGAGATGTTTGAGAAAGGGCAGAGAGAGGCAGGAGACTAGGATCCCTGGTGAGTTTCTAGAGAAAGGTTTTGGGGGATGGCTCTGAGAGGGGTCCACGAAGAAAGGCAGGAGAGGGGGTTGTCGGAAGAACCCAGAGATGTGTGCCTGAACCAAGGACGAGTCAGCCAGCTGAGCCGAGGGCAGCACCTTGAAGTGGAGGCTAAAGAAAATGAAGTTTACAAAAAAACGTTCACGCGCGCTTTTGGGATTTCCAAAAATCTCTCTAAGGCAGATTCTCATCCTCCTAGTCACTGACGGCAAAATTGTGGTGCGGAGAAATTAATGGACTTGCCCACCAGCACGCTGCAAAAGTGTCAGAATACAGACTCAGTGTCTTCTATTCCAAACTCCATGGTTTTCGACTATACTTGTTCTATATCCCTAAGGAAGGAGCTTGGCCTGCCGTTGCCTTTTATACCTGTTGATGAAGCGGGATGCCCTTCTCACCTTTGTGGGGTCAAGTGCAGCTCCCCCAGCTGGCTGACGTGAGGATGAACGAGGCTGATGGATGACAAACAAGACAGCAGCAATTTCTACCAAATACACTCAAAACCTACTATTATATGGCTAACTAGATATTACTGCTGAGCATAAAAGAGATTTTTATGAAGTTCTTTTCAAAAGGATTATTCAGTTCCTAGTCCAGATCCTAGTGCAAATCTTCTTGGAAGAAGTACAGTCAGAGGGCTCTTTAGAAGCAAGGATGGGGGGTACTTTGGACATGTTGTCAGGAGGGATCAGTCTCTGGAGAAGGACGTCATACCTGGTAAAGTAGAGGGTCAGTGAAAGAGAGGAAGACCCTTAACGAGATGGATTGACACAGTGGCTGCAACGATGGGCTCAAGCATAGCAATGATGTGAGGGTGGCACAGGACCGGTCAGTACTTCGTTCTGCTGTACACAGGGTCGCTATGAGTTGGAACCAACTCGGCAGCAACTAACAACATAACAACAACAGTCCAGGTCCTTTAAGTTGTGAGTTGAGTGTGAGGCTCTGTGATTGATTGAGGCGTGACAATTATGTAGCAAGTAGCAGCAGGCTGAGTCCGCTGGGATGTGGCATACCCACACTGGTGGTGACACCGTATCAAGGTGCCGCATAAAAGCTTGTATAATTTCAACACTGGCCACTTGCCCCCAATTCACCTTATTAAAATGGTGACCAGAAAGAAATGCTTGCTTCTTGGATTGCTTGCTTTTTTGCTGGCTGATTTGGGCATTAAAAGTGAAGAAAAGAAAGAAGAAGAACAGAACTGTTGGTTGCCGGGCAAATTTGATTTGAATGGATACGCAGACGCCGAAAACCATCCACTTGTCATTGGAGGACTGTTTCCTATTCACTCCAGGACCAGCCCAGAAAATAAGTCTATTTTGGAGCCAGTATCAGCAAAATGTGAAGGGTAAGCCATTCTTTTTTTCTTTTTATATCTACTGTGGGTAGTGGGGTGGGGGGGAGAAGGAGTGGTGGGTGTGGGAGTCTGGGACTGGAGTTAGCCTTGACTATGACACTGTCAATTTGAATCAGAGGAGCACTTCCTGTTTCTGGACCTCAGCTTCCCCAGGGGTGACATTCTAGGATAGCTTAGAGCCAGAAAGGCTTGGTTTCACGTGGCTCCCTCCCACTGCAGTGTCACAGGAGGAAAAAGGACGGCAGGTTTTCTGTGATACAGAGCATTGCTCCTCAGGGTTTGTCGGTGGACCAGCAGCATCGGCATCACCTGGGAGCCTGTTAGAAACGTAGACTCTCAGGCTGAGTCCAGACTTGCTGAATCAGAACCTCATTTGACAAGACGTCATTCGTGTCCACGTGAAGCTCTGAGGGGCCCTGAATCGGACTCAGGCAGTGTTGCAGATTTATTGTGAATTGTTGTTAGACTAACCTCTCCTCAAGATTGGAAATCTGGCTTTACAAAATTGGAATCATGGTCATTGTCCAGACACAATTTTGATGACATTGTACTTGGAAGTATTTTTAACTCAATTATAGCCAGCACATTGAATAATTATAACTTAAGATGCAATAAAAACACATTATTCTTTGTCTCCCACTATCCTTTTCAGACTAATTAGTGGGTTTTTTTTTTCTTCTGTGTCCTGGGGTGAAGACACCAGCGCGTAGACCTTTTGATTTTTGTGCTCACTTTTACATAATAAACACACTTCAGGTCATCTTAGCTCACAAAATACAGCCCCAGTCTCATAAGAGAATTTCTGACCAGGTAATGTTGCTGTTAGCTGCTAGTAAGTCTGCACACACAACGAAACGAAATGCTGCCTGATCCTACGCCATCCCCATGACTGATTGGGGATCAGACCACTGTGATCCCTAGGGTTTTCACTGGCTGATTTTCAGAGGTAGATTGCCAGGCCTTTCTTCCTAGTCTGCCTTAGCCTGGAAGCTTTGCTAAAACCTGTTCACCATCATAGCAGCACACAAGCCTCCACTGACAGATGGGTGGTGGCTGCCCATGAGGTGCATTGGCTGGGAATGGAACCCCGTTTCTCACATGAAAGGTGAGAATTCTGCCGCTGAACCACACTGCCCCCTATCCGATTCCAAACTAACTTGCTTTGTAGTGAAATCTCCCTGCTCTCAGCCTGAGCCACTTGCAGGTGGAGCACCACTTTGCCAGAAGAGAGGTGTGGTCTATACATCTCTTCTTTTCTGCTCCTCCTCCACCAGCCTGCTCACTGCTTCTTCTGGCCTCTCTGTGCGTGGGGTGCCAGGAGCGGGGAGAGGAAAGGACAGGGGAAACTCTTACTTGGTTTGTGCTGCCGGAAGACGGCTTCATGTTCCCCCGACCTGGCGAGTGTTTAAGCTGACTCTCTTTCTTGTGGGACTTCTGTGGTTTCCGAGCTTCCCCCGTGGTCGCTTCTGTTTGAACTCCTGTGACAGAGCAATCCTGCCCTTTGACCATCTGCTCTCCCTCTCTGACCAGCGTCTTGTCTTCCTGTAGTCCACCCCATCTAGATTGTCTTTGTTGGGTTCCCTGGCTCTCTGTTGAGAATCCCAGATCAACATTCCCATCGTGACTTCTACGTCCAGACTCGGGTTCATGGATTCCAGCCTGTCAGAGGGGTTTGCTGCACCTGCCAGACTGACCGCAGTTCCTTCCTTCCGCCCCGCTGTTGTTGCTGTGCGCTGTCGGGTCGGCTCGGACCAACAGCGACCCTGTAAGACAGAGGAGAACTGCCCATAGGGTTTCCTAGGCAGTAATCTTTACAGGAGCAGATCACCAGCTCTTTTCTCCCATAGAGCCACTGGTGGATTTGAACCGGAGCTGCTGACCTTCCAGTTAGTAGCCAAGAGCTTAACCGCTATGCCGGCACAGCTGTTTTTCTGCCCTTCTGCCTTAGCCCACACACAGAGGCTGCAACCGTGGGCTCACACCTAGCAACGATTGGGAGGATGCCGCAGGACTGGACAGTGTTTCGTTCTGTTGTACACAGGATGGCTATGAGTCGTAACTGACTGGACGGCACTTGACAGCCACGAATCTTCGCCCAGCAACTGCAGCCGCTTGCCCTTGGATTCCTCACGTGTGTAGCAGACACTGCTTAATTATGCGTCTCCATAACTACAGAGGAACAACGTGGCTAGCCCAAACAGCATCTTTGTGTCAATTATGCAAAGCTCTTCTTCCTTTAGGCACTTTACTATCGTCTTCCAGGATATGATCGTAAGTATAACGATTTAACCCATTAAAATGTTTATTCTGTACGGTGCACAGCCTGCGTACCTGTGGTCTGTAGTCCTGCAAGGGACTGTCTCATCCAGTGCTGACATAACAAACAAATACTTTAAATAACAGAAATTTATTGCCTCACAGTTCTGGAGGCTAAAAGTTCAAATCAGGGTCTCGGCTGTGTTGATTCCTTCTGCGGGCCTCTCTCCTACTTTCTGGGGACTGCGGGCAATCCTTGGCATTCCTTTGCTGCTTATAAGTGTATCTGTGGCGTCTTCCCCCGTGTGTCTCTGTGTCTGTGTTCCCTTTTATAAGACAGCACTCAGAAGTGATTAGGGTTAGGACCTAGCCCGCTCTGGTATGTCCTCATCAACGTAACAAAAGAAAACCTTATTCCCAAACAGGATCCCATTGACAGGTGTGAAACCAAACCAGAACCAGTGCTGTCTTGAGTCAATTCCTACTCATAGCAACACCGTAGGATTTCCAAGGCTGTAAAGCTCTACGGAAGCGGACTGCCACATCTTCCTCCCGCGGAGCCATTGGTGGATTCGAATCATGGCCTTTAGGTTAGCAGTCGATCGCTTTAACCACTGTGCCACCAGGGCTCCTACAGGGGTTAGAATTTCAACATGTTTTTTGGGGACACAGTTCAATCCATAACAGACAGCGAGCTCTCCAAGCAGTCTCCGGGATCCTCTCTCACTAAGTTAGTGGACAGAAATAGCATTCTACAACCTGCCTTTGGGGGCGTGAATGGGACTTACAAAATGGCTGAAACTATCTTCAAAGAAACCTCCTCACAAACACTTCTACTATCTTCACTCTCTCAAGGCTTTTTTGTCCCCTTCAGGGGTTAGGGAGCCCTGGTGGGGCAGTGGTTAAGAGCTACGGCTGCTAACCAAAAGGTTGGCACTTCAAATCTGCTAGCCAGTCCTTGGAAATCCTATTGGGGTAGTTCCACTCTGTCTTCTAGGGTTGTTATGAGTCAGAATCAATTTGACAGCAACAGGTTTGGTTAGTTTGGTTTGTGGTTTTTTTTGGTGAGTTGGAGACATCTAACCCGTTCTTGGTCACCTGCTTTGACATCGTGCGTTTTGTTATGGCCCCTGAATTGGGGATTTCTTATCTATCGTACTTGGTGCCTCAGCAGAAACATCTAATGTGACATCTGATGCAAACCACCCATAATTCCATATACCCACCACACCCCCACCGAAATCCTTTCCCGCCAAACTGGTGAAACGTCCATGAGATTGAGAAGGGGATAACAAGGATTAAACTTTTGCTAAAAGAAAGAGCTAATACTGCGTGTCAGTTTCCTCATTTATAAAATTTGAAGGTTGAAATAGATGAGATTTGCATTAATCAGGATAAGTAGCCACCAACTGCTCCAACACACATTTCCCCAAATCCCAGAAACTTAGCACAAAAAATGTTTTTTTTCTCATCGGCATAAAGTCCAGTACGCATCTGTGAGGGCTTTCCTCTGCCCAGTAATTCAGAAACCCAGGCTTCTTCCCTCATATGATGCTGCCGTCTCAACACGGGGCTTCTCCTGTCACTGTAACAGGGAAGACCGAGTGTGGAGGTGGTACAAACTTGAACTTCTTGACCTAACATGAGAGTCTCCCACCAGTCTGCATGGGGCTGGGAAGTGTAGTCTCCTTGTGCACTCAGGAAGGAGTAGAGACAGGTGAGCACTAACATCACCACAGCCTTTAATCTGGCTTTTAGTTCCAAAAATTCTGCAGTTCCAGGGATCACAATAGAGAGTCCCAGACAGAACTGGAGAAAAATATACAACAAAATTCAAACTCACAAAAAAAGACCAGACTAACTGGTCTGACAAACACTGGAGAAACGCTGAGGTATAGCCCCGGACACCCTTCTAACTCAGTACTGAAGTCACACACCTGAGGTTCACCCTTCAGCCAAAGATTAGACAGTAAAACAAACAATGACACACGTAACTCAACCACGTATAGGAGACTAAATAGGCACACCAGCCCGGGGCAAGGACGAGAAGGCAGGAGCGGAGAGGAAAGCTGGGCGAATGGAAATGGGGAACCCGGAGTCGAGAAGGGGAGAGTGCTGACACGTCTTGGGGTTGGCAACCAATGTCACCAAACGATACATGTATTAATTGTTTAATGAGAAACTAATTTGCTCTGTAAACCTTCACCTAAAGCACAATTAGAAAAAAAAAGTTAAAAAAAATTGTACAATTCATTCGGTAGTGAGAAGGGTAGAGTGGCTGCCAGTCATCCACACCCCAGGATATATTATTTTTCACCTGATCCTAGTTGCTCTGAGGGTCTAAAGATTTGGTGAAGGTGGACTATGAGAGGAGAAAGAGGAAATTTTGAAGTATGAGAATGTAGGGGGAGAGCTTGCTTAAAGAACTACTGTAGCGATGGGGCAGACGAATCGGAGTGTCGTGTAAGGGGATGGGGCATTTGGAATGACAAAGAGTGGTGAGTACTAAAATTTTTGATAGAGAAAGATAAAAACGCATTGGATGAAGCCGGAGAGAAGCTTTACCTTCTTCAGAAATTTGTAAGGAGTTGGCTCTGTTTTCTTTCTTATTTTGAGAAGCCATATAAAAAGTTTTTCTCTTGAAAAATGTAATGAGAAAGGGAATGGTCTGTTCCAGGGAAAAGTGGCTTCTGAGAAGAGCACGTGAGACTTCCGCTGCCCCATTGCAGCTCCAGGAGCACAGCTCTGTTACTGAGGCTAGCCTGGACTGTGGCCATCAAATAACTCCCACAAATAACTTCCCACGGGGACTCCTATTCCTGGTCCTCTGGCTAGAAAGAGGGTTTTTCTTGGAGATTTTTTTGTTTGTTACCACTTGTAGTTCTATGAAGCCCTGGTGGGGCAATGGTTAAGTGCTTAGCTGCTAACCGAAAGGTCAGAAGTTCAAACCCACCAGCCACTCCATGAGACAAAGATGTGTCAGTCTGCTCTCGAAAAGATTACAACCTAGGAAACCCTCTGGGGCAGTTTTACTCTGTCCTGTAGTGTCAATATGAGTCAGAATTGACTCGATGGCACACAAGAGTCCAAGCTGGGAGATAGATACGAGAGGTAAAGCAACAACAACAGCAGAGACTGACAAGCAAACAAACAACAACAAAAACCACGGGAAGTCACTGCCTTTTGGGTCTTTCTTTGAATCCACCTTGTCCACCTGTTCTTGTTTAATTTTCAGAATCATCTGATAGTTGCTTTACGTGTTCTGTCCAGGGATTTTAATTGTAGTCAGTGGGAGAGGTGGGATGTCTGAGGGGCTTTTGAAAGCATTTCTGCAGTGTCTTCTGACTTTCAGTATTGCTTCTGAGAAGTCTGATGACATTCTGACTCTTGATATTGTGTATGAAGCTTGATTCATCTGGTCTAGGGCATCCAAAGCCAGCTCCTTGTCCTGAATGTGGATGAGTAATGCAAGGCATCAGTGTAGGTACTGTGCTTGTTTCTCAGTCTGCTCTCACTGAAACCCAAACTGCTCATGTTGATGCTGTACAATGTTAAAGCTTTTCCCAGAAATTTCATCCATCCTCAGAGTACTCATGGATTTTGAGTATTAATAGCATTCCTTATTTTAAAATTAGAACCATATAATTCATTTTTGCCCCTAATTGTCAACAGTCTCTTCCTCTCTGTACACAACCTCAATGTCCTCCAAGCCTCTTAGCATTCTATTCATGGAATGGAACTTTCACTTCCAGTATGAGAGTCTTCATGGTGGGCCTGGCCTAGCTGGTATTCAGAAGCCAGGCTGGGGCTGATTTGGTAATAATTTCATTTTTGAATCATCCACCTTTACCCGTTAACTAACCTAGACATTCAAGCTGGGGTTTGGAGAAGTCCCATTTTGATCTGCACGGTAGGCCAGATGCAAGTACTTATGTTTAGCCCTATTGAGCACTGCTTCTCACTGGTTCTGGATGCCAGAGTAGACTTGCTGCTGCTGGGCCTCTCCTGATGTGGAAAGTGCCTCTCAAGCGCCACTGCTTGCCTCACCGCGCATGCGAGCTGATCCGGCCTGAAGGGCACTGGCTCCTGCTGGGTCAGGTCTGGCATCTCCTAGTTGCCTCCACACCATCTCTTCCTCCCCTTACCACTCAGTCCGATTCCTTAACTTTGCCTTTGATGTTCAAGGCTCCTAGATTGTCATATACAATCAATTCACTTGTTTTTTCAGGTCTTTGTTATAAGAGGGACCACAGGAAGCATCAGACTACTCTGCCATCTTGGCCCCGCCTCCTGAAGTCCCATTTTGAAATCCACAATGTCAACAAGATGATAGTTTTGGTTGGCCATCAGCTTACATTGCATGGAAGAGGAAGATTTTTCTGTTATTTTAAAAGATATTGCTCAGAGCAGAGAAAGACTGTGAAATGGAATGAGGAAGGGAGTGCTTTATTTCTTGTTTTGGTTGACCTAAACAAGGGGATGAATTAGATAAAGTGTCTGGGGAGGGGAAGGTATATAATGTACAACTGGGCTGTAAATATTATAATGGAAATCAATGAATGAAAGAAAAAAAATCCCAAATTTCACCCTTCCAGTAATTATCCTGTGCTCATTAAAAAAAAAAAAAAAAAAAAACCCTGTTAATTTTTATCCAAATTTTCATAACATTTATATGTACATTGAGTTATAGTATGGAAACAACTTTGCATACAGCCTGCTTCATTTAATATATGTGTATACTGCTGTGCAATTTCTCTAATTATACTTTTTAATGATGGAAGTGTTCCCATCAAGTGAACATACCATAATTTATTACTGCTGGGCAAGTAAGTTCTTTCCCGGTTTTCAATACTGTAATAATTCTGTGATGGACAGTATCGGGCATCTAGCCTTTTCCTTTGGGAAGACCGGTTTCTTCAGATAAATTCTCAGGAGTGGAATTATTGCATCAAAGCGGGTGCACATTTTTCTATCTTTTGAAATGTATTGCTATGGTACTTTAAAAGAGATATTGCTCTATTTATTTCAAAAATGTGTATACCAATTTATATTGCCAACAATGTAAATTTGGAAAACAAGTATCTTATGATGACAAAGCCCTTCATGGCCCCCTCTGGTTCTCCAGTCTCGGCTTTCACAGCCCCCACACCCACTGCTATCTTCCAGACACACTGATCTTTCCATTCCTTGAATGTTTCGTGTTCTCTTGTTGCCATGCCTTCACACATACTGTTCCTTCTGCCTGCAACACTCTTCCCCTGTTCAAGCCTCAGTGTGGCTGTTAATCCCTTCTGGGCTAAGAGTCCCTTCTTTGTATCTCATAGCCCCTATGCCTGCTCCTATCACATAAACAATTTTGTGCTGCAACTGACTGGCTACCTTTCTTTTTCCTCGTCTCGGCAGTGCCATGCTTGTCTTGTTCACGGTTGTATTTATGTTGTCTGGCACCACTGGGACTCAATAACTACATGTTAAAAGAAAAACAAAACTAAAGTAAAAACCCAATTAAAGAGAGATGGGGGAAAATCCAATCTGTTAACAAGGCTATTTGCTGTTAGAAATTTAATTCAACAAATATTTATTGAGCACAAGACATGGAGTTAGACACTATAGCTACAGAAGATATTAAGAGAGAAAAGGACTTGGAGTCCTTGCTTTAAAATAGGTTAAAGTTTGGTTAAAACAGAGAAGAATGAAAGAGAACTGGGAATAGAATTTTTTTTTTTTTTTTTTAATGGAGAAGAAATTGGAAAAAAATGTCGTGGTGGGCTACAGGAGAAATATTTTCCTCTTTTAGTGGCTGGGAGAGGGAAGGAGGAGGCATTTTGTTTACGGAAATGTGTGAGAATAGTAGAAAGTGGAACATTTTTCAATTAAAACAATCTCTCAACATTAACAAATCATGGCAAGAAATTATGTAATTGGAGTCACAGGATATATAATATACTGCTTTTATTTACTCTTTTCATAAGCATTCATGTATCTACATAATTTTTATTATGATAATTAATGTTCAGGAGAAAACAAGAGAAACCGATAAGGTGAGGAGGAGGGAAAGGAGACTTACATGGCACCAGGGGCTTCCAATGGTTGGGGAAAAATGTATTGAGGGATTATTGGGTGTCTGGTGTGGTGGAGAGAATTGTGCATATAAGAATATTTTTGTGAAATGAGATAATACGTCATATGAAATATATTTCAAGCACGAACACTTCCAAAAAGTTGCTTCTCAACCCAAACCGATTCACAGTGAATACAGTTCATACATGAATTGTTCAAGCTTGAGATAACATTTAAGAAATACTCGTATGCTTCAGAGAAGTGAGATGCCTGCTGTTCTGGCAAAATGCTCTCATCACCACCCCAACTAAAATCTGCTGCTTTCCCTGAAGATCAGCCCACTAAGGCCTTACAAAGGCGATTTCCTTTTCAGGTTTAACTTCCGGGGGATTCTGCTGGATGAAAACCATGATCCACATGATCAAGGAGATCAATGAGAGGAAGGATATTTTGCCCAACATCACTCTGGGCTATCAGATCTTTGATACCTGTTTCACCATCTCCAAATCAGTGGAATCGGCTTTGGTATTCCTCCCAGGGCAGGAAGAAAACACGCCCAATTTTAGAAATAGAACTGGAGTGTATCTGGCAGGAATTATTGGAGCAGGTGGATCATCTTTATCAGTTGCTGCTTCAAGAATTCTAGGGCTGTATTATTTACCTCAGGTACCTCAGAATATTGTCCTGGGTACTAACTTATAAAGAGACATGAGCTTTGCTTGTGGAAATTGCAGCAAAGATGAAGGTGCACAAGTGAGGCTGGGTTGAGTCGCAGAGACAGGAATGGTGGCGATAATGCTGTCCCCAGTTGCCGTGTTCATCCAGGCTTAAAAAACAAATCAAAAACCATTGCTGTTGAGTTGATTCTGACTCATAGTGACCCTATAGGACAGAGTAGAATGGTCCCATTGTGTTTCCAACGCTGTAAATCTTTACAAAAGCAGACTGCCACATCTTTCTCCCTTACAGTGGCTGTTAGATTTGAACCGCCAATCTTTTGGTTACCAGCCAAGTGCTTTAACCACTGCGCCACCAGGGCTTGCTTCATCTAGGCGAGTGCCTCTCAAATAACGTTTTCTAGTAATGTTGTTAGAGAAGGTGGCTCAGATCTGAGGCAGAAGTAAAGCTTCCTACCAGCTTTTTGAATGTAAGTCTTGGGGCGTATATACTCAGAAGTCCTGGCAGAGACAAAAGGAGAGAGAAAAGGAAAGAAAGAGGGAAAGAGGGGTTGAGGAGAAGTGGAGATAGAGGTAGAAAGAGAGAGGGAGAGAGAGAGAGAGATAGAGAGAGAGTGAGTCCACTCATCTGTATGGATGAAAAGTTAGATCTGAGAAAGAGCCTGATGACTCACTCCATGCTGTGACCATTTGTGAAAAGTGGCCATTGAATGTCATCATCTTAGCAATTTGCTCAACTTCCTTGGGGTGGCATGGGAAAAGGGGTGGAGAGGGAGGCACTAAGCGTTTCCTTCCACTGTCCCTACCCAGTAGGAAAAGGAGTAGACGCTTTTTTGTCAATGGCCTGAGGTGGGAACAAAGGGAGAAGGACTGTTAAAGTCCCCTTCCTTCCCGATAGACATACTCAGGGCTGGTATAACTTGAAGTCTGGCTATTGCTTTCTAACAACTGCACGAATATTTTCACTTGTAGGTGGGTTATGCTTCTACCTGCTCAATTCTTAGTGACAAACACCAGTTTCCATCTTATCTTCGCACAATTCCCGGTGATAAGACCCAGTCAACCACCATGGTAAAACTTCTCCAGCACTTTGGCTGGGTCTGGATAGGCACTTTAGCAGCTGATGATGATTATGGAAAATACAGAGTGAAAAATTTTAAGGAAGTAATGGAGACTGCCAGTCTCTGTATGGTGTTTTCCGAAATCATTCCCCCAATCTATTCCAATGAGAAAATGCAGCAAGCTATAAATGCTGTAAAGAACTCCACTGCCAGAGTCATTGTGCTTTATGCATCTGATATTGACCTCAGTCCTTTTGTGCTTGAAATAGTTTACCATAACATCATTGACCGAACATGGATAGCAGGTGAGGCCTGGATCACCTCAGCCCTCATTGCAAAGCCTGAATATTTCCCCTATTTTGATGAAAGTATTGGATTTGCAATACCAAGAGCTGATATACCAGGATTAAAAGAATTTCTTTATGATGTACATCCTAGCAAGGATACAAATGGTGTCCTGACCATTGAATTCTGGCAAACCGCTTTTCACTGTACTTGGCCCAATAGTAGTGTTCTATACAATATTGACCATAGAGTGAATATGACTGGTAAGGAGGACAGACTCTATGCCATGTCTGATAAATTCTGTACTGGAAAGAAGTTGGAGGATCTTAAAAACACCTACCTGGATGTGTCGCAGCTAAGAATTACAAACAATGTCAAACAAGCTGTGTATGCTATGACTTATGGCCCGGACAATCTAAGTAGATGTGAAGAAGGCTATGGACCGTATATTCCAGGAAACACCTGTGCATGTATACCTGACTTTGAGCCTTGGCAGGTAAGTTACTATTTGTTTGTTTTACCTCATGAAATTGTTCGATAATTAAAAGAATTCATACTGTTCAATCCAATGATTTGTCTTTGTAGTTAATAGTTGTGATTTCATCATGCGCCCACTTCAAAGAATGGCCTGCTTATGTGACCTAAATGGGCGTTTTTCAGTTCCCATTTGTTATAAGAGTTATTATTAGGTCTGTTGCGAATGGTGGAAAAGCCAAACAACCATGGCTTAGGTTTTTCTTCGTCTTCCTCTTCTTCCTCTCCTCCTCCTCCTTCTTCACGTAGATAAAGTTCAGAGATAAGCATTCTAGGGCTGAAAGAGTGGCTTCGCCACCCAAGTTCCTTCTATCTTGTCATTTCACCATCCTAAATATGTGGGTTCACCTCATAATCTAAGACGGCTATTGAGACGTCAACCATCATATCCACAATCTGACCAGCAGGAAGGAGGAAGGACAAAGATGGGTGTACTCCAGACTTCAAGGATATTTCCTAGACATTACACACAATTGTCCTTGTGTACAGTTAGCCAGAATTTAGCTACATGGCTACAGCTAATGACAAAGGAAATTGAGATATGTAGTCTTTATGCAGAGGAGCCCTGGTGGCGAAATTGTTAAGCTCTTGGCTGCCAACTGAAAGGTCGGCGGTTTGAACCCACCAGCAGCTCTGTGGGAAAAAAGACCTGGTGATCAGCTCTGGTAAAGATTAAAATAAAACAAAAAAAAACTAAACCTGTTACCACTGAGTTGATTCCAACTCACAGTGACCCTGTAGGACAGAGTAGAACTGCCCCATAGAGTTTCCAAGGAGCAGCTTTTGGTTAGCAGCCATAGCAGGTAAGCAGTGTGTCACCAGGGCTCCTGGTAAAGATTACAGCCGAGGAAGCCCTATGGGACAATGCTACTCTGCCATATAGGGTTGCTATGAGCCAGAATCGACTTGATGGCAACGGACTTGGTTATTCTGGTTTTCATACAGGGTTGCTATCGGTTGGAATCAACTTGAAGGCACACAACAACAACAATCCTTATACAATGTGGGAGGAGCCACGCGGCCCAAATCCTGGAGGTGAGGATTACTGGGTTATTTTGGAGACTGTCTCCCACATCTCTTCTCTCAGGTCTGTTATTTCAGCAATTCATATTGGGACACAGTAGCCAGAATAACAGCACCAAGTTAGGCACCTAATTAGAGCGCCATCGTCCATATTTCCTTCAGTCTCTCCCTCTTACCTAAACAGGGCAAAGCATGACTGGCCCTGTCAGCACCTCTGATCTGATCGCGTCTTCTATGAGCCTCACCACTTTGTGCTCCAGCAACACCAAATTGCTTTTCAATCCCAACAGAGTCCACCATGCCTGAAAATTCTTCCATTGCATTTTTATTTTCATTTCAAAACTGAATTTTGAAACAATTTCAGTCTAAAAAAACTTTTACAGATATTACAAATAATCCCCGTATAAACTTCACTGAGTTTTCACAAATTTTAGCATCTTATATAATTATTTTCTTACCCACAGCGAGCTGAGGTAGCGTGCATCCCAGACGCTCAGCAACCGGGGAAAGGTCTTTTAGCTTGTTTTGCTGCTTTCTGCCCTTCTCACTTACAATTCTTTCCTTCAACCACTGGTAGCACTGGGGAGAAGAATAACATTTCATGTTAATGTCTCGGAAGGGTTTGATGTCAAAGGCTGTTAAATTCAGTAACAAATAAGAACCTCATGGTGAATTCCTGAATCTTCTTCCCTCTGACCTGTATGTTTCCCAGTCACCAGGATGCCCATGTCTTCATGCAAAGAAATGTCCGCCATGGTCTTGCTCCTTGTTTATTGGCTCAGAACAGATTGATTTGGACTAATATTCACCACATCAATCAATCGACATGGGCAAAAGTTGTTAAAATCCTGACATATAGTCAATTATATCCTTGTCTGCTAACCCGTTGCCATCAAGTCGATTCTGACTCTTAGTCACCCTATAGCCTTGTCTGCTAAATGGAGGAAATCTTTGTTATTGAGATAGCCCAAAAAGTATTTACATTTCACCAATGTGTATTATGTTTCCTTTTTGTCAAGAAAGCAGGGCACCAAGCTTTCTGCTCAAAGGAAGCCATTATCTTGCATTTTGGTTATTAACTATCTTTTTCCCTCTTGTCTTCAGTTCACTCCTAATCTCCTGTTCTTCTTATAATAGGGGTCCTAGTGGCTAAGTGGTTAAGCATTTGGCTGCTGACCAAAAGGTCGGCAGTTTGAATCCACCAGCCACTCCTTGGAAACCCTATGGTGCAGTTCTACTCTGTCCTATAGAGTCGCTATGAGTTGGAATCTACTCTATGGCAACGGGTTATATGATCATAGTACAATGATCAAGATCAGGAAGTTAACACTGATACAATACTTTCGTCCAATCTACAGACATTACTCAACTTTTGTCAGTTGTCCCACTAATGTCCTTCTTCTTGTCCAGAACCCAATCAGGTTCATTTAGTTGTCATGTCTCCTTTACTCTGGGATAGTTTCTCAGCCTTTTTTGCCTTTCATGAGCCAGATACTTTTGAAGCAGACTGGCCAATTATTTTGTAGAATGTCCCTCAGTTTGGATTTGCCTGATACTTCCTCAAGATTAAATTCAGGTTATGCATTTTTGTCAAGAATACCATAAAGTGATGATGTGTCTTCAGCGTCTCCTATCAGGAGGTACAATGTCATTATATCTCATTATCAGTGATGTTAACTTTAATTACTTAGTTACAATGATGTCTACTATGTTTCTCCACCATAAATTTTACTAGGTTTCATCTTGTAATTAATAATTATTTTGTGGGAAAGTATTTTGAGACTCCACTAGTGTTGTTTCTCATCATAAATTTTAGCATTTCTGTCTCTGTCAGCTCTGGAGGAAGGTCCTTGTCTCTTCTGAGCTTCTGCTCCTGGGCAATCTTCATGTGTCTTGACATATCTCTTCCCCCATCTCTGCTCTGCTTGCTTGTTTAATCTCTTTTATATCTCACCTGTTTATTTGTCTAGCCTCTGCACTAAACTGTGAGATTTGCAAGGTCAGGGAATGGATCTTGTTGATCTTCATATCTCCAGGACCTCAAACCCAGGGAAGGGAGCAATGGTGATGGAGGAGTGTGCTGGTACCTATAAGTGAAAGAAAGAAAGGAGACAAGTGCAAATAACCTCCATTCCTTAGGTTATGAAGGTATTAGGAAATATTGTTATTGTTGTGTGCTATGGAGTCGATTCTGACTCATAATGACCGTATATTTTAGTATAGACCATGCTGGCCAATAGAAATTTACAAGCCACACATCTAATTTAAAAATTTCTGGTAACTACATTAAAAAAAAAAAAAAAGAAACAGATGAAATTAAATTTAATGACATTTTATTTAACCTAATATATCCAAAATAATATTTCCATATGTAATCATAATCATGAAAATGTGATATAAAAAATATAAAATTATTAATGAGATAGTTTACTTTTTTTTAACTAAGTCTTTGCAATACAGTATGCATTGTATGCTTATAGTGCATCTCAATTTGACCAGTCATTTTTCAAGTTTCAGTAGCCACGTGTGGCTAGATGTTATTAATTAGACAGCAAAAGTATAGAGGAAGAGGAAAGAATTAAGTATGAGTTTGAAATTATTTTCTTTATACAACCTTGTTTCTAGACAATGAGATTTTCACAAATTGCTTTTTTCCCCTTGTTTTCTAGTTAATGTTCTATTTGAAGACACTTAAGTTTACAACCCATAACAGAAGGAGAATAGAGATTGATGAAAATGGAGATGTGTTTGGATACTATGATATTATAAATTGGCAATTAAATGACAATGGTGAGATTGCCTTTGTGAAGGCTGGAGAATATATATTCACAAACTCTAAGTATGAGCTTGTGATTCAAGAGAATGCAACAATATTTTGGAACACTGAATCATCAGATGTTAGTTGCTCTGTCATCTTATTTTGTTTATACGCATAGGAAATTCCATTTCTATCATCAATGTTTCAGGCATTTATGGAATATCAAACACCTAGAATGGGCCATGTCAAGTCAATTTCTGATTAATATTTAGATCTTTGGTTTTTTTAAAAAAATTTTCTTAGATTATAGTTTTAAATGTCAGTTTGTTTTGTTTTTCTTCTTCAAGTACTCCAGTTATACTTGTATTTTATCTCCTTTGTCTATCTTCCATTTCATCCACTTTCTTTCTGACCAGTTTTGCCTTTTTATTTATTTCATTATCATTCTCTTGGTTCTTATTGAATTTTCATTTAAATATAGCCTTTCTTAAAGTTCTTGTAGTTTTTTTTTTAAATTTTTTATTGTACTTCAGGTGAAGGCTTACAGAACAAATAGTTTCTCATGAAACAGTAGTACACATATTGTTTCATGACATTGGTTAACAACCCCACAACACATCAACCCTCTCCCTTCTCAACCTTTTTTTTGATGAAAATATACATAGCCAAAGATACACCATTTCAAAAATTTTTACATGCACAGTTCAGTGACATCGACTACGCTCTTCCAATTGTGCTGCTATTCTCACTTCAGATGAAGGCTTGCAGAACAAAATAGTTTCTCATTTAACAGTCAGTACGCATGTTGCCTTATGACAATGGTTAACAACCTCACAACACATCAACACTATCCTTACTCAACCTTGGGTTCCCTATCACCAGCTTTCCTGTCCCCTTCTGCCTTCTGGCCCTTGTCCCTGGACTGCTGTACCTCATTAGTCCCATTTGGTTTTACGGGGCTGTCCACTACCCGGCTGAACGGTAAACCTCAGAAGTGACTTCACCACTGAGCTAAAAGGGTGTCTGGGGGCCATACTCTTGGGGTTTCTCCAGTCTCCTTTAGGCCAGTAAATCTGGTAGTTTTTTGTGAGTTAGAATTTTGTTCTACATCCTTCTCCAGCTCTGTCCAGAACCCTCTGTTGTGATCCTGATCAGAGCAGTGAGTGGTGGTAGCTGGGCACCATCTAGCTGTACTAGTCCTTGTAATTTTTATCTTAATTTCTGAAATGGTTTTGTCTTTTTCTTTAGTTTTTTTTCTGAGTACAATTAAGTTTAGTTTCATTTCTTCTAATTTTATATCTTTGATTTTAAAATTTCCCATTTGAGATGTTTTTTCACTTCTTCAAGTGCTTTTCGGAGATTGTCTAATTCTGTCTGAAATGCCGTGTTACACTATTGTTCTCCTAAATGGTGCCCCCCCGCCCCGAGGGTGAGTTTAACCTGCTGAAATGTTTTAATTTTCTATGTTTTTCCAATAATAGACTTGTATGGAGGCACACTTCTATTTTTGGTTATATTTATGGACAAAGGTAAGGGTTTGGGGTGGCTTACAAGATTCCTATTTCAAGATTGTTCTCTTTTGTTAGTACAGCAAAGTGCAATTTATTTAGCAGATGCTTTTTTGTCATCGGAGAGGGGTTTTCATGTGTCTTTTGATTTTACAGTTCTCTCTTGATTTGCAGAATCTTTAATTTCATGCTCTTATCTCAAAAAATAGTTCTCCCTCTCTATACCTTCTGCTCCCATTGAAGTAGTGCTTTCTGAAACTGGCCCTGTGGGGCTCACTTTCAAGTTCTCTCCCTATTCCTTTCCCTATAGCCAATGCTGAATCTACAAGATTTTGGAACTGTTTTCACTTAGGATGGGAGTTTTTCTTTCTAAGAATGATTTTGTCTATTCTCCATCAACCTTAGGCTCTCTGCTCCCCTTTACTCTTTTTTTTTCATAGTTTCTTCAGATTCCCTTCATTTTCCACACACCCAGGAATGAGGCGGGGACTCTGGAGATGGCCTTGTTGGAATTTAATGACTTTTTCTCCACTTTTGAGTACTTTTAAGTTCACAGTATCCTCAAGTTCTTTATGATGCTGAAGGCCTGGCTCTTGTGTGGTTTTATTTACTCTTGTTTTTAATCTGCATGGTCTTTTGTAGAGGAGAGAGCCATAGGTTAGCAGCTGCCATTTCCCTGGTGTAACTTAGATATCCTCCCCCTTCCTCTCTGACAGCATTTCTGGAAGGACTTTCTTTTTTTTCCTCCCTTCTGTTTCTCATTTATTCTTGGGGTCAAAGAATGGGAGGAAAGATTTACCAGTTCATAATATAATTTGAGGTAGGGAACAATAGCTACTGGTGTGGTATATGTATGCGTGCACAGAATTATGTTTTGTTAATATGCTTTAAGCATTTATCTTAAAAAATGCTTCATTGGGAGATTATAAGAGAGAATGATGAGTTTCATAAGCTTCAAAATTCTTTTCAAAATAATTGTTTTCAAAATTGTAGTGGGAAGTAGTAGAGGTAAGATTTGAGGATTAAATGTATTAGTTTTAGACGTAAAGTGCTTATGCTAGATAAAAAGCTGTTATTTTTATTATGATCGTACATATTATTGTTGGATCCCTGGTAGGACAGTGGTTAGGAGATCAGCTGCTCTAACCAAAAGGGCAGCAATTTGAATCCACCAGCTGCTCCTTGGAAACCCTATGGGGCAGTTCTACTCTGTTCTTTTGGGTCGCTATGAGTTGGAATTGACTTGACAGCAACAGTTTTTTTTTTTTATTATTGTTATTTGTTATTATTTACTATTAATAAATTATTATTTATTTCATTATTTATTAGTCATTACTATTACAATTCTTTTTCTTACTCCTCCTATAGCAACAAGTGGGCTATTGACATGCAGGCCTGCAGCTCTGAACGTTTTAAAAAAAGAGAAGCGGTGGTGAACTAGCAAGAGGGCCCCACGGATGCTCAATGTAAAGACAAAGCTTGGGAAGTTAAGGGAAAAGCCCATCACCTACCGGACAGCTGAACTTTTTACCCTTAGTGAAATATTATTCCAGGAGAGGAGAACTCTAGGGCTTTTGATATCCTAGTTTAGTATTTGCTACAGGGTGACCTGTAGTGTTATTGTAAAATGATAGAGTGGTAGAAAGGCATTGGCAACTTAATCTTCCATGAGAATCTCAGAATGGAGGAACCAGGAGGAGCGAGAGAGAGTAGAAGGCTGTGTCAGTACCAGTGGAACATACTTTTCCTTTACTGCCATGAGATTTTTTTTTGGGGGGGAGTCTTTCTTCATCTTCTTGTTCATGTATCTTCCCTCTTCTTGTGTGGCTCTTTTGATCTGAGATCCCCAGACAGTCTTCTAAGTCATGCTGGGCAGGAACTAAGAGTGGGAGACAAGGAAATTAAGATTTCAGAGTGCATACCCTCTGCCACATATGAGATCTTTTTAATCTGTAGGTCTGTTGCTCTCTGCTTTCCATGGGTAGCAATAAATATACATAGACTCAGAGACACAAAAAGCATACACTAAGGTATCAGTCCTTCCCTTTCTTGGCCCATCCTTAAGAAGCACTTGCATACGTTATGGCAGGATGTAAACATAAAAACTTAGTGTTTGTCACTGTAGGGGCCAGACCTCTCTGTGGCGTTTTATTTTATTTGACCTGGAGCTGTTATGAAGCCCTGGTGGCACAGGGGTTAAGAGCTCAGCTGCTAACCAAAAGGTGGGCAGTTTGAATCCACCAGCTGCTTCTTGGAAACCCTATGGGATAGTTCTACTCTGTCCTATAGGGTCGCTATGAGTTGGAATCCACTAGATAGCAACGGGTTTAGAGCTATTTTATCCAATACGGTAGCCCTAGCTGTATGTGGCTTCTAAATTAATTAAAACGAAATGAAATAAAAAAATCAGTTCTTTAGTCACATTAGCCACATTTCAAGAACTCCATGGTCACTTATGGCTAGAGGCAACCATATTGGACAGTGGGCATATGGAACATTTCTATCATTGCAGAGACTTCTATTGGACAGAGCTATCTTAGGCCTAGAGTATAAACATCTTCTGTGGCCTAGAGCTCTCTCCCTAGAGGGTGAGCTCCTTAATAGATGGGGCCTGAGACTTTTCGCTTTTGTGTTCTTAGTTCCAGGCATATAATAAGTGCTCAATAGAACGTGTTCCATTTAAAAAGGGAAAATATTACTGTCTGCATATACAAGGTTCATAGAATGCTTGGTCTATTAAAAATTGATAGTCAAAAAACAGTAAAATGGGGTAGTATGTTTTCATTTAAAATATTTTGGTATAGCATGGTAATTTTATTTTTCTCATCATCTTTATGAAAATTGGCATTATATTTGTAGAGTGAAATTGCTTCAAATGTTCAACACTAATTTACTAAGCATCTACTGCAAGTCCAACTCTGTGTTCAGTGCTGCAGAAAGGTCATTGCCTTCAAGGTACTTATAATCTAATTAACTGAGCCAGTATTTATTGAACACAATAGTATATGTGCTAGTGACTGTCTTAAGTACTGGGGATTCATTGGTGTACGAAATAGAACAAATCCCTGCCTAAAGGAGCTAAAATTTCAGTGGGAGGAAATAGACAATAAATAACATAAACACGTTAATTATATGGTGTCTTCAAAGGTGGTAATGTTAGGGAGGAAAAAAAGCAAGGAATGAGATAGAGAGTGCTGCGGGAGGGGGTTGTATTGCAATTTTAAGTAATGTGGTCAAGGAAGGCCTCATTGGGGTGACATTTGAACAAAAACTTGAAGTGAATCCATGCGTTTTCCAGGGAAGGAACATTCCAGGCAGAGAGAATAGCAACTTCTAAGCCCTGAGGCAAGGGTGTGGTTGTCATTTTGGAGGAACAGCAAAGAGGTCAGTGTGGCTGGAATAGTGTGAGAGGGAGGGCACTTGGAGGAGGCGAGAAAGGGTGAGGTTATTCAGGGCCTGGTGGATCTTCGACAGATTTTGACTCTACAGTTAGTGAGAACCGGAGTCATGGAAAAGTATCAACAGTCACGATCTGACTTAGGGTTTAAAAGATTATTTTGACCGCCATGTTGTAAGTAGACTGAAGGTGGGGAGACAAGAGTAGAATCATGTAAACCTGTTAGAAGACCAATGAAGTAATCCAGGAAATGTAGTGATGGTAGCTTGGGACAGAGTAGACATGGTGAAGGTGGTAATAAGTAATTATATTTTGGATATATCATAGGTAGTAGCCACTGGATTTGTTGACAGATTGAGTTTGGAAGTGACCTGCATGAAACAATTAGAGCACGGTGTAAACCATGATTTAAAGCAGGATGGTAAACTGAGTCTGGAGGTTCGTGAGCAGACGGGCCTAAGTGAAAGAGAGGGTATATACAGGCAAGTAATAGAAGATAAGGTCAGAGAGATTATGGGTAAGAATGATGGTGTTAGTTACAGAAATGGGGAATTTGGGACAAAGAACAGGGTTGATCGGGTGGCTTAGGGCATGTTGAATTTGAAGTGGTGGTGAGATCCCAAAATAGGCATGTGTTGGAAGTTTAGAAAATGGAATTAGAGGAAAGAAGGGAAAGGCTGGTGTTAGAGACGGTGCAGTGGTTAAGTGCTTGGCTGTGAACTGAAAGGTTGTTGGTTCAAAACCACCAGTCGCTGCCACGAGAGAAAGATGTGGCAGCCTCCTTCCGTAAAGATTCTAGCCTTGGAAACACTATGGGACAGTTCTACTCTGTCCTATAGGGTCGCTATGAGTTGCAATCGGCACACCAGCAACAGGGTTTTTTTTTCTATAGATAGTGCTGATTAAATACAAGAGAATGAGTGAGCTGCTCTATATAGAGAGATGAATGCAGAGGATCAAGGACCAAACCCAGGAAGATTGCTACAGTGATGAGGAGGGTGGAGGAAGTAGAATGAACAAAATGAGTACAAGGATTCAGTGGGAGCCAGAGAAGTCAGTATTTCAAGGATGAGTTGATCGAGAGTGTCAAATATTGAAGAGAGAGGAAGGACAATGTGGTTAGAGGAGAAGCTATCAGACTTGCGAGAAGAGTTTTAGTGAGGTGAGTGGGTTGGAAGCTATATCCTAAGGGTAGAGAAAGATAGAGGTACTGAGAAATGGAGCAAAAAGACATTAATGCCTCGTTCATGATGGTTTTCAAAGAAAGGTATATGAAGATCTCTTCCCAGAAGACTGGGTCAGGAGAGAGGGAATCCAGTTCATTCTGTGGTGATTTTATTGTTTTATGATTCAGAGTGTGAGAATGCTTTGCTGTCACTCTTGCCTGTTACAACTACTCCTCAAAGTACATTTAAAATATGATTATATGTACACACACATACACGCACACACACATACACAACTTATCAGAAACCTATCCATTGTGTATAAAAAAAAAAACCCATTGCCATTGAGCCGATTCCAACTCAATGCTACATACCATAACCTACTTAGGCATACCTAATATCTTCCATGTTATCAAACTCAGATTTACCTTAGAAAACCCAACATATAAAAATTCTGATTTCCAAAATAAATATAAATGTGATTATTTACTTTCCAAAATGAATCTTTACTTAATGCAAAATGCATTTTTTCTCACTTTTAAATAGGAAATCCTACAGTACATTAGGGTATAACTAATTTACAGACATTGAATTTATACTGGATTTCAAGGTGCACATCCATGCAGAATGTAAAAGGAGGTCCATGTGTACTGTTGTACTCCCTAAACTCTTTTAGAGATAAAATATCCCAGTGCTATGCCTTGTCCATTTTTCCTTCTTGCCCTCCCAGTTTTCCTCTGGAGCAGATCTTTCCTTCTCTTTTCTACCCACCCTTCATGACATATCTTTGACTTTAAAGCTATGTTTGGATGACCTTGAGGAGAAGAAATCTTTTTTAGGCTCCCAAGAAGATTCTTGGGGTCACAGTTTCCCCCACAACCAGGAACAGATTTGCCAAATTGTTCCCCTCCCAGACTCCCCTGGAGATGAAGTCTGATTTGGATCCCCAGGAATAGAGCTAGCTTTAGGATTAGTTTTACATTTCTAGAATCAGCCACAAGACTGAGCTTTAGCAGAGTTCTTCTCTAGATTATCCTTGTTGTTATTATTCTCTTTGTCCTTTATCTTCACCCAGGTCTCCTGGGAAACCCAGGCTATCTCAAAGCTTCCACGAAATCTAGACTGGAACTTTGTCGAGAGTTGTCAGCCTCAGGAGTGGTAGAGACAAAGGGCTTTGTTACATGCACTGTATTTGGCTTTGCTAGCTGCCCCATTCAGCGTGTACTGATGCGTGTCCTCCTGGGACCTGGAAGGGGATTCGCCTTGGGGAACCAATATGCTGCTTTGACTGCATCCCATGTGCTGATGGACACATGTCATGGGAACCAGGTACAGATGGTCACTTTTTCCATCTATATTAAAATGCAATTGGGTTAAGTGTTTGCAAAGAGGTCCTTGGGAGTCTTCTTTATAAATAGGTATGAGCAATTTATAATAAAAAAGCATTATAATCCATGAAACTATTTACACTGCATTTAAAATTACAGTATTTAGGTTTCTAAAGTAGATTAAATACTAGTATGTTCATAATTGGGAAAGAAAGTGAATTACAGTCTGTTCTCTACCTAATTATCTCTAGTTTGGAACTGAAAAATCTAGAATTAAATGAGGCCTATATGAGGCCCGCTTTTCCATCCCTAAAGATACTTGACTTAAGGTCAGAAGTAATCAAAATTGTTGGACAGGTGGATTTTGTAGCTACTGCTCTATGTAGTCTTCACTACAATCTGTTAAATTTGGGCTTGGTGTGCTTAGCCTTAGCAGATTTATTTACAGAAAGAGTTCACATATTTTTAGATATGTAGAGATTAAACATTCTGTTAAAGACAACACAAGTTGTTCTTATCTTTCACCAAATGGCCTTCAAATTGAATGAGAATAAAGAGAATTTTAAAAGCGTAAAGTTTCCTCAAATGGAAAAGAACAGTATAACCTGAATAATGACCTGGATCCCACATGGCCCAGTCTCTGCACAGAGGTGCATCCAGAGAACCACAGTCCAGCCATCAAAAAGTGATTAAAATGGAATTCAAATCTTTACTTGCATCCTTCAAAGAATATTAAAGAGATCCATTTCATACTCTACCACAAACCCATGTTGAATAGCTTTTTCTTATGTCCCAATATTCTCCCTTGGAGCCTCTGCCCAGCTAAATGCCCCAAAGTCTTTCTCAACCTCAGTCAACATGGTGGTTGTTTTTGTTTCTTTTCTTCTTTTCTCAGTCCTTTCGTACCTGTTCTCTCAAATGGACATAAGAGAAACAACTCTTCCTAGAGAATGGGGAGGGGAAAAGCTGAACAGGCAAAGACAAAATTCTCTTTAGTAGGTGGGAGTGGTGGTGGATGGAGGACCAAAAACCCTCGTATTTTAATCAACCTTATCCCTGCCACAATTTTCTCGATTGTTTCACCTTTGTGGCTTTAATTTTCTCACATATGGGAAATCATTTGCGGATTGTTCTGGGCTTTAGGAGGATACACATCTCCCCTCTCAATTAGACAATTGGAAGAGAATGAAAGAGGCATCTTGCTGAAATGGCCCATGAGGGAAAGACTGACACCAAGAAGGAAGATTAAATTTACAAAGTTGAAAATAATTCTCAATCTGTAATATCATCTGGACACTCTAAGGCCATTTTATCACTTCTTTTGAGATAATGTGGTATAAAGGGATTTTCGAAGAGTCTCCGTTCCAGGCCTTTAAAGGAGAAAATTGGATTTCCTTCTAGTCAATTCTCTGTTCTTTGCTCAATAGGTCAAAGGAAGTGTGACCAGTGTGATGAAGACTATTGGTCAAATGCACAAAAGAGCAAGTGTGTGCTGAAAGAAGTGGAATTCCTTGCTTTTGATGAGGCATTGGGATTCACACTTGTCATTCTCTCCATGTTTGGGGCCCTTGTGGTCTTGGCAGTCACAATAGTGTATGTGATATACAGACACACTCCCCAATGACCGGGAGCTGAGCTTTCTCATTCAGATTTCTCTTGTTATCACGTTGCTGTCTACCATGCTCTTCATTGGCAAGCCATACAACTGGTCCTGCAAGGCCCGCCAGGTCACTCTGGCACTTGGATTTTCTCTTTGCCTGTCTTGCATTCTTGGAAAGACTATTTCACTCTTTTTAGCCTACAGAATCTCCAAATCCAAAACCCATCTTACATCCATCCACCCCCTTTATCAGAAAATCATTGTCTAATCTCTGTTCTAATTGAGATTGGCATATGCACAGCCTACTTGGTATTGGAACCCCCAAGAGTGTACAAGAACATGGAGTCTCAAAACAAAAAGATCATTCAGGAATGCAGTGAAGGTTCCATAAAATTTTTGTGCCCTATGTTTGGGATTGATGTCTTCCTGGCCTTGCTGTGCTTCCTTATGACCTTTGTGGCTCGCCAGTTGCCAGATAATTACTATGAAGGAAAATGCATCACCTTTGGGATGCTGGTCTTTTTCATCATCTGGATCTCTTTTGTCCCTGCTTATTTGAGCACCAAAGGTGAATTTGAAGTGGCTATGGAGATATTTGCAATCTTGGCATCCAACTATGGTTTGTTGGGTTGCATATTTGCTCCCAAGTGCTTCATTATTCTTCTGAGGCCAAAGAGGAACACTAATGAAATTGTTGGTGGAAGAGTCCCAACTATAGATAAGACAATCCAGCTGACTTCAGCCTCTGTGAGCAGTGAGCTTAATAATACCACGGTGTCAACTGTTGTTCTGGATGACTAGAGATGTGAGTCACATGTGTCCTCAAAGCCGCCGTGGTGACCTGACTCAGTGACCTGACTCGACAAGCCCTTTCAGGTTGCTCCTGTAGCAGCTGCCTGATGCTCTGGGGTGGCATTGAGGATTCGGAGTCTGCTAGTATAGTCTTAGCATGGTATATGAAATCTCATACTGTAAGAGATCATCAACATGACTTGGAATACTTTTTAATATTGCAATTGTAAATCATTTTGTCACACTTCATTCAAACATTTCATAATACATTGGTGTAAGAAATGTAGTGAGAATATGTAAAACAAATAATCTAAAGTGATGAGTTAAAAGTTCAAACCTTGAGTATATTTTTGTTCTTATATCGTGGATATCTGATCTAGAAATTTACATTAAGCAAAGTCATAAACCCAAAAAAACCAAACCCACTGCTGTTGAGTTGATTCCGACTCATAGCGACCCTACAGGACAGAGTAGAACTGTCCCATAGGGTTTCCAAGGAGCATCTGGTGGATTCAAACTGTTGACGTTTTGGTTAGCAGCCGATCTCTTATCCACTGTACCACCAAGGCTCCTGTTGGGGACCAAAAGGGACAACTGTTCTACATCCTGTTAATGCCTCCTTGACATAGATAGCTTTTCTCTGATTGAAGCAAAAGCTACAGCTCACAGGCTTTGCCCTGGGGCAGGGGGTTGGGTAAGAGAATTTAGGTGTCAATGGACTTGCATATTAGCCATAGAGAGAATATTGAAGGAATTGAGATGTCAGCGAAGCTCAATTCCTCCTTGAACTCACATGACCATAGACAGTCTCCCAGAGGGAAGGCCAAGCCTACCCTCCAGATTTTCCTGAGCGGAATATATGGTAAAGTATTTGAGTTCAAAACATCCTGCTGCTTGCAAAATAAAAATGAAGGGCATTAAGGTGTCTGCAAAGCAGTTATTAAGCTGATTATATAGTGAATATCTGGAAGGCAAAAAAGCAAATGTTTACTTAGCACATGCATTAGAAGGCAAGATTTATTTCAGGATAAATTGAATGATAGATATTTGCTCTCCAGTTATCTACAAATAACTGGAATTTAATTGTCATATTGGAAATGTTATAAAAACATGTTCAATCTTCTTCCAGATGTGATATTTAAAAAATGACCTACATATCTATATGTATGTGAATTAAATGTGTGGAAAACAGAACATGTAGAAATGCTGATAAACCAGAAACCCATGTGTGTACTTGACTCTAGAAGGTCAAAAAGATGAGGAAGAGCTCTCGCATCAAGAGAACTTAATTATACTTATGAATATCAATTAACCAAACTGGGCAGAGACTCATGCAGTCTTATAGGAGCAAAAAGGGATACAGGGATAACCAGTTTAGCAGGACAGATCTGTCAGGAACTTATTTACTGATTTTCTAGAATGATCATTCCAGACCAGACAAAGGGGATGAACTTCCTTTAATTTAAGTAGAACATTTAAGTCAACTTGCTGCAACGCTTAAGCGTGAACATGTTTGTTTATGTGAAATATCTAGAATAGGCAAGTGTATAGAGACCAAAGTTTATGAGTGGTTACCAGGGATGAGCGGAGGGAGGGGGAAAGGAGGACTCGATGAGAAGACTCTAAACTTCTGTTAAAGGCAATGGAAACATGGGGGAACAGATAAGGGTGATGGTTGAGCAACATGATGAATGTAGTTAATGTTACTGAACTGTACGTGTGAAGACTGTTGAAATGGCAAATATTTTGTTACATATATATTTATCACAATTAAAAAAAAAAAAGGAGCATGTTAGTGGGCCAGTGGCATCCCGGTATTTTTTGGGGAAGCATCTACTAACCCATTCGTCTCCCAATGCTTCTGTGCTTTTCACCACAGACTTCAGAATTGTTAGAGGAGACCCTACGTCTTTCTTTGTTCCTTCATTTGGCCCCAGGACAAGATTTGAAAAAGAGAGAATGGTATGTCAAATAGATCGATAGGGCAGTGAGAATCTATGACTCAAGTTCTTGTTCAGCTACGCATACAACTTGAACGGTCTCAGTGATCCCTCTTGAGATTTAAAAAAGGCCAGAAGACAGCTCACATCTGGTGACTTGGTTTACTTCTATGTTCAAAATATTTCGATCTCGGCATAATCCATTTCTTCGATGAGATGTTGATTATGGAACATATGGTCTCTAAAAAGATAATTCCAGAGTCCATCTGGGGAATATCAAAGACTCCATTGTCTTCTTTCGGACCGCGTGTCTCAGTAACACACGCTATCATTGCACTCGTGCACTCTGTAATCAGTATTTTTCTGATTGGCAATAGGTTTGGGAAGCTAGAGAAAATAAACATTGCTAAAAACAAGATACCAACTGAACTTGCATGTTTAATTTTAATGCTTACTCGTACAAGTTTTCAATCTTAAAATACAATTTGTATCTAAAATAGTCTAAAGTTACCTTTTGTTGATTTGGTACACGTGCATTGTGATAGGAACTGGCTTATTGCAGTTAAAACAAATAGTACGTGATTGTCAAAGAATGTCTCATTTGTAGTATTGTTTTATTCTTTGTAATTAATTACATATCACGTATTAAAATATTTCTCGTAACACTGAAAGAAATTTTTCCTTTGGATGAATGTGCCATTTAAAAATTATTTTTAGTGAAGAAAACAAATGACTGGGATCTCTATCAGCACATGCCGCCTTCTAAGAGACTCTCATACAGGAGCCGTTGGTGATACTTCCTGCTGTGGATAAGCACTTGCTGGTAACCACACGCTGGGCCTTGGGGAGCAGCTCAGAATTAATTTCAGGGCGTTGCATCAAAATACTGCTGTTGTTAGCTTGGGGGGTCATATAAAAACCTGAAAAAGGCTTGAAAGAAAAAAATTGCAAAACAATGCTTTACTTAGGGCTAACCTACTTGAATGTGGGGTTGAGCAATTTTGACAAAAGAAATGTTTATCAGGGCTGCTCAAACCCACACCATAGATTACTTCCTTTGGGTTAAAGCAAATAAATTGCTGATAGAAAGTGAGTATATGATCAAAAAGGGTAAGATATTCCAAATGCCAGACTAATCTCCTTAAAACATAGTCTGATCTCATCTCTTCCCTGCTAATCAACTCCCATTGGCTCTCCACTGCCACATGCCTGCCGTTCAAGACCCTATCACCTGTTTCCCATGTTCTATTTTCAGGCACTTGTTGCCTGCCACATTCCTGCCCATGCCCTGGACTCCTGTAATTCCTGGAACCTACTTCGTATTTTCCTACTTCCACACTGTTCACCTTGTTCCTTTTTCCTCTAATGCTCTAAGAGAACTTCATTCATGCATCCATCCATCCATGCATCCATGCATCCATTCATCCTTCCCTCCCTGCCTCCCTCTTTCCATTCCTCCATCCATCCATCCATCCCTATCTCCCTCCATCCCTCCATCCCTCCATCCATCCCTCCATCCCTCCCTCCATCCATCCATCCATCCATCCATCTATCCATCCATCCATCCATCACTGAGTGCGTGCTGTGCACCAAACTCAGATGCACAAATGTAAGGCATTGCCCTGTATCTCCATGTGCTCACCATCTTTTGGAGTGATAGGTAATAAACTGACAATTACCCTATGATGTGATAAAGCTGTGGCAGAGGTCACTGCAGGACACAGTGAAAGCATAGAGGAATGGCAGGGTTAGTCAGGGTCAGCAAAGGCCTCCTGGGTGAGTAAATGCTTGGATGGATTCCTGAAGGACAAGAAAGAGTTAGCCACCTAAAAGAAAGGTAAACTAACACACACATGCATTCCACCCAGCCTAGCTCATGGAGCACAGTAGGTGCCAGCTTCCCTTCCCTTTTTTCCTAAAGTTCCATAGAATTTTGTTTGTGCTTCTTTTATGTCACTGGCCCACTTCCTGCCTTACTATGGTTATCTGTGTCCATGTCCTGCCTCTATCACCACACTGTAATTTATTTTGTGAAGGGATCTTGCTTTATATATCCTTTGTAGCTGTATCACCTAGATGGTACCTTACATTTAATCGATGCCCAAAGATTTTTTTTTTAAATGAATGAATGGATGAATAAAGTTATCAAAAAAGCTAGTCAGTCACTGTTATGGATTAAATTGTGCCCCCCCAAAATGTGGGTCAGCTTGGCTAGGCCATGATTCCCAGTATTGTGTGATTGTCCACCATTTTGTCATCTGATGTGATTTTCCTCTGTGTTGTAAATCCTACGTCTATGATGTTAATGAGGCAAGATTAGAGGCAGTTATGTTAATGAGGCAGGACTAAATCTACAAGATTATATTGCATCTTGAGTCAATCTCTTTTGAGATATAAAAGAGAGAAGCAAGCAGAGAGACACAGGGATCTCATACCACTGAGAAACAAGAGCCAGGAGAATAGTGTGTCCTAGACCAGGGGAAGATTGATGACAAGGACCTTCCCCCAGAGCTGACAGAGACAGAAAGCCTTTCCCTGCAGCTGGAACCCTAAATTCAGACTTCTAGCCTCCTAGACTATGAGAGAATAAATTTCTCTTTGTTAAAGCCGTCCACTTGTGGTATTTCTGTTATAGCAGCACTAGATGGTTAAGACAGTTACTTTGCAAGCCCTATGGCCAATGTTTCAATGTGAGGAAAGGAGGAAAGACTTGGGAGCTGGAAAGGACCTCTTGGGGAAACACAGTGGGTTCTGGGGATAGGGGCGGCCCGTGTGAGAGCAGTGGACGTTTCCAGGTGGGGGGTGAGGGAGTGGGGAGAGACAGCCATACTGACAGGAAGGAGGAGAGTTGAAATGGAGAGGGAGGCCTTAAAAAGAAATGAGAAGTATTCAATTGAATATTTCTCTGTGGTATTTTCTTCTTATGTTCTTGTTTTCGAAGAAGAAGTGAAATATATATATATTTAATCTCCCCCACAATTTCTTTCCTTTGGAGCTGCCATTGCAAATACGCCTGTTTGGAACATCTAAAGGCAGAGTAAGTATTATCATCTCGAGGAAGGATTTGTA